GGGGATGGAGGTTGAGCAGGGGGTGCCCAGTTGGAGGGTTGGGGTGTCCTTCCTTGGGGTGAAGCTGACAGGTGTCACACGAGGCACTGGCTGACCCAGAGCATTGCATTGAAAGCTTGGGCTGGGGGCAGTTGGGGTGGGACGTCTGCAGCCACCCGAGGAGGCAAATTACAGGAGGCCCCTCAAAGCAGCGCCATTGCAACACCCTCAAGGGCTCCAATGTCCCTCCTCCCCCCCTCCAGTTCAGCTACGGTGACGAAGACCTGGCCCCCAACACCGCCAACATCCAGATGACCTTCCTGCGCCTCCTGTCCACCGAGGGCTCCCAGAACGTCACCTACCACTGCAAGAACAGCGTGGCCTACCTGGACGAGGACACGGGCAACCTGAAGAAAGCCCTGCTCATCCAGGGCTCCAACGACGTGGAGATCCGCGCCGAGGGCAACAGCAGGTTCACCTACAGCGTCCTGGAGGACGGGTGCACGGTGAGCCCGCGCCAGGGCCGGGGTGGGAGCGCGAGGCTCAGGCAGAGGTGGTAGAAAAGCAAAGCCTCGCCGGTGAGTCTCGAGGCATGGGCAGGAATCCCTTCTCAGGGAGGGGTCTCGGTGCAGCTAAACCCAGCCTCAGCCTGGGATCCCAACCTTAGCCTGGGGTCGTGTGAGTGGTTTAGATTTAAGGAGTTTGGAGGTTGTGGTGGAGCTGCTTTTTTCCCGTGGGTTTTAAGGTGTGGTGTTTTTTTTTCTAAAAATGAGTGATTTGTTTTATACAAATGATCAGTCAAAAGATCTCAGTCAGAACTATTCATCACATGATATGAACACTAACAATCTACTAGTAGAGTATAATACAGTATAATATAGTCCAGTATAATATAGAGTATAATATTATACTCTACTGGTAGAGTATATGAAGTAGTACAGTGCACTGTAACAAAGCAATTGTTGAAGCAGTTATATTAAAGCTGGCAAAAAGAAATAATTATTAAGTAGAGGTCTGACCCAGACCAGGGGAGATCTCTGCTCTCAACCCCGAGGAGTGACCCTGCAGGGCATCCCCAGCCAAGGGAGGAACCTCCACACATCCACCCCAAAAGGGTTATGTCAGAGGAACCTGACTGGGCTTTTCTAGGATAAAGTGGTTGACTGCCAGTCACACCTTTCCAGGCCAGCCACCAGCTTATCTGTCAAACCAGACTTCAAAAAGCAGGGTGTGTATTCAAATTGATGAACCAGGACGGTTTTAGCATAATTAACACCAAGACAACACCCTGACTCTGACAGCTGGTTGGATTTTAGGTCTTCTCGGGGTGGGTCTATCCTGCCACAAAGATGATGATGATGATGATGAGTTGGAGGGGGTCAGCCTGGTGGTT